AGTTTAACTGGGGTTTAATTTGGTTTAATTGGGGTTAAATTGGGGTTAAACTGGGGTTTAACTGGGGTTAAACTGGGGTTAAACTGGGGTATAATTGGGGTTTAACTGGGGTTTAACTAGGGTTTAACTGGGGTTTAACTGGGGTTTAACTGGAGCTTAATTGGAGTTTAATTGGGGTTTAATTTGGTTTAACTGGGGATTAGTTGGGGTTAAACTGGGGTTTAACTGGGGTTTAACTGGGGTTAAACTGGGGTTAAACTGGGGTTTAACTTGGGTATAATTGGGGTTTAACTGGGGTTAAATTTGGGTTAAACTGGGGTTAAACTGGGGTTTAACTTGGGTATAATTGGGGTTTAACTGGGGTTTAACTAGGGTTTAACTGGAGCTTAATTGGAGTTTAACTGGGGTTTAATTTGGTTTAACTGGGGATTAGTTGGAGTTTAACTGGGGTTAAACTGGGTTAAACTGGGGTTAAACTGGGGTTTAACTTGGGTTTAACTGGGGTTTAACTAGGGTTTAACTTGTGTTTAACTGGAGCTCAATTGGAGTTTAACTGGGGTTTAATTTGGTTTAACTGGGGATTAGTTGGAGTTTAACTGGGGTTAAACTGGGGTTAAACTGGGGTTTAACTTGGGTATAATTGGGGTTTAACTGGGGTTTAACTGGGGTTTAACTTGGGTATAATTGGGGTTTAACTGGGGTTAAATTTGGGTTAAACTGGGGTTAAACTGGGGTTTAACTTGGGTTTAACTGGGGTTTAACTAGGGTTTAACTTGGGTTTAACTGGAGCTTAATTGGAGTTTAATTGGGGTTTAATTTGGTTTAACTGGGGATTAGTTGGAGTTTAACTGGGGTTAAACTGGGTTAAACTGGGGAAGGTGAAGATGGTCCTGACCCCACCGGGGTTTATTTTCCTCTCCCAGTGATCATCCTGTGCGTGCTGGAGCTGGTGATCGTCCTGCTGCTCATCTTCCTGCGCAAGAGGATCCTCATCGCCATCGCGCTCATCAAGGAGGCCAGCAGGTCTGGATGTGACCGCGGCCGCGCATCGCTCCAGGGTTTAATTGGGGTTTAAGTGGGGTTTAAGTGGAGTTTAACCGGGGTTTAACTTGGGTATAATTGGGGTTTAACTGGGGTTTAACTAGGGTTTAACTTGGGTTTAACTGGAGCTTAATTGGAGTTTAATTGGGGTTTAACCGGGGTTTAACTGGAGCTAAATTGGAGTTTAACTGGGGTTTGAATTGGTTTAACTGGGGTTTGACTTGGTTTAACTGGGGTTTAATTGGAGTTTAATTGGGGTTTAACTGGGGTATAATTGGGGTTTAACTGAGGTTTAATTGGGGTTTAATCAGGGTTTTACTGGGGCTTAAGCGGGGTTTTACCAGGGTTTAACCGGGGTTTAACTGGGGTTTAAGCGGGGTTTTACCAGGGTTTAACCGAGGTTTAACTGGGGTTTAAGCGGGGTTTAATTGCAGTTTAATTGGAGTTCAACTGGAGTTTAACCAGGGTTTAACTGAGATTTAAGCGGGGTTTAATTGGAGTTTAACTGGGGTTTAACCAGGATTTAACTGGGGTTTAAGCGGGGTTTTGCCAGGGTTTAACTGGGGTTTAACCATCTTCTCGCAGGGCCATCGGTCACGTCATGTCATCACTGCTGTTCCCCTTGTGCACCTTCTTCCTGCTGTGCCTCTGCATCGCCTACTGGGCCAGCACCGCCGTGTATCCTTTCCTCTTCCTCTTCCTCTTCCTCTTCCTCTTCCTCTTCCTCTTCCATTTCCTGGTCTTCTTCCTCTTCCCTGCATCCCTGTTCTCCAGAAGTCCAACGTCTCCCGTCATGGTTTTCCCAGGCGCAGAGCCTTAAATCTCTGAGGTTTAACCCCAAACAGACCTTGGGGTGGTGGAAGAGCAGCAACAGGAGCTCGGGGAGAGCGGGTTGGGTTTAGGGCTGGGTTTGGAGAACGTCCTCTCCTTAACGGTGACCTCCAGCTTCCTGTCCACCTCCAACGAGGCCGTTTACAAGGTGTTCAACGAGTCCGCGTGCCCGTTCTCCGGGCAGACCTGCAAGCCCGAGGTGAGGACCTCGGGGAAACTCAGAACCTCTCAGAGATGAGACCACGGAGGTTCCTCTGGGTTGACCGGCGCGTGTCGCGTGTCCTCTCCAGACCTTCAACACCAGCAACGTCACCAAGCTGTGCCCCGACGCCCAGTGCCTCTTCGCGTTCTACGGCGGCGAGACCGCCTACCACAAGTACCTCATCGTGCTCCAGTTCTTCAACGTCTTCATGTTCTTCTGGCTCGCCAACTTCGTCATCGCGCTGGGCCAGGTGACGCTGGCCGGCGCCTTCGCCTCCTACTACTGGGCCTTCAAGAAACCCGACGACATGCCGGCCTTCCCGCTCTTCTCCGCCTTCGGCCGCGCGCTCCGGTGCGTCCGTCGCCGCAAGGGCGGCCGGGAGCTCGGGGAGGTCGCGCCGTTGTGACCGTGTCTCCGTCTCTAGGTACCACACCGGCTCGCTGGCCTTCGGCTCGCTGGTCCTGGCCATCGTCCAGGTCATCAGGGTCACCCTGGAGTACCTGGACCACCGGTTGAAAGGTA